AACTGTAATTGGAAATATGGAAAATAAACCCCTGTCTCCTTGAACAGATGTCAAACTCCGCTGAGTTTGTGTAGCCTGCATCTCTCTCTCCTGTCTCCTCCTGTCTGCCCAGGACATGTTTCCATAATGCTGTCTCTTAAAAAGACCAGCTCTTTACAGATGATTCAAAGCCAGCCCACTGTTCATTACCAGAAGAAATCACATCTGAGGATGGGGCATGGGCATACATGAAAGGCAGCCAGGGTCTCGTTTCAGCCTTGAGGCGAATGTGATGAACCCCCGCTCCATGGGGCCTGGACGTTTCGTCCCTGCGGTGGTTTCCTGGTGCAGCATCCGCAGGGCCGGGGCTTGCAACGCGCACGCTGCAGGGATCGAGCTGCCCAGCCGGCAACCCGACCGATGCCAGCAAAATAACAAGCGACCATGCTCCCAGCGGGCAGCTCGGACCATCTGCCCCCAGCTGCTCAACTTCAACTGCAAGTCATGAGACTCCATCCTAAATGCAATAACATAAACAACGGGTTTGCCAGTCTCTTCAAGACTTTCAAAATCTGACCAAAACACACCCCAGCCCCAAATATTTATATGTTGTCACTATGGTGACGAAGAAAAATACATCCCGAGCTGCAGGAAGTGGGCTGCGTTTTCCAGGCAGGGATGGGGAGGCAGGGGAAGGGTGGAAGCCACCACAAATGTGACTTTATTTTTTTTTCCTCTGGAGAAAAATGGCCTGGGAAAGTTGGTGCTGGAGCGGCAGGGGGTGATGCTTGAGGGGTATTTCCCTGGGGTGAGCGCAGGGGGCGGCTTGGGCCAAGGGAGCCCAGGAGCAGCAGGAGGGTCCCATCGAAAGGGTGCAGGATTCCCCCAGGCAGCGCCTGCTGCCCAGAGGTGGTGGGCAGCCAGGGGGAGGCAGGAGCCGGGCTGGGCAGGGGAGGGGGCTTGGCCAACCCTTCTGCTGCAGGGGGCTCCCACCACCTCTGCCCAGGCGCGTGCCCCTCACCCTCCTAACCTCTCCCTGAACTGGTGTCAAGACAAGCAGGTTCAGCATGTCCAAGCTCCCTATTCCCGGCGCGACTCGCAGAACTGCAGAACCAAACAGGCTTCCCTGCAGAAAGACCCAGATCTTTTGCTTTTACTTAATCCTTTGGCAGTTATTTCCAGATATCCTCACATGTTTCACAGTTAAATGCCAACGCTGGGGTGCTGCTGGAGGCTGGCTTGCGTCGTGCCGTCAAAACCCGAGATGTCACTTAGCTGGAGCAGCGAGGTGTGGGGCAGGGAGCAGGCGTCCGGGTAGGTACGTGCCAAAAAGAAAGGAGGAGGCTGGATTCAGGAGAGGAGAAACAGCTCTATTGGAAACCCCTTCCCAGCTTGATTTCTGCTAAAATATTGGAAGCCTGCTTTAAGGGAGTGATTGAACAGGTGCCAGTGAGCTACTGGGCGGCCATAAAATGTGGCCCCTGAAGTGTTTTGGAGCTCTTGGGAAGTTGTGCTTGTGTAGAAGGGTCATTTGGCTAATTACTTGGGCAGGCTTGCCCCCTAGAAAGGCGGCAATGCCTGTACCCACCCCACGGCCAAGCTTTCCGCAGGCCCGGAGGTATTTACTGTCGGGCTGATACCAACTATTACGTTTCTGGTAGGAAATACTTCATGTATCTTATCACTCTTGCTTTCATGAAATTTGGCATATGTATGAGCACTATACACATGACATTGTACATCTATATCCCTATATACATACATACATACAACTATAACTATACACACACACATATAACGCAAGCATCTGGGTCCCCAGTGAGTGAGAGAACCAAAAAGCAGAATTTCTGGAGATCGTGCTTGGGGTCTGTCACAGAGATGAGGGTGCGTGGGTTTATTGTGGTCCCAGACCCCGCAGAGGGAAACCTTGGCCATCCACCTGAGTCAACATTCCAAAACAGCCTCTGAAGTCACCCTGTGCCCGTGGCCACTGGGTGCCCAAGCCGGCGCAGGAGGCAGCCCTCATGCTCTCTGAGGGACCCCCATCCCCTGCCGTGGGGCAAGGCAACCCCACGCTGCAGCTGGGGTCCCCGGGCACCAGGCGCTGCCTCCATGCCTCCCTGGCGCCTACTCCCCGCCACGGGGGCATGCGGAGGAGGGTTCCCTGCAGCTGTGTTCCTTGGATTAACATTTGCTGCGTGTTTTCTGGCTAATTCAGTGACCCGCACCCTTGCACCTCGCCAGCCATGGTGTCAATCCCCCAGGTCTCCCCTTGCATGCTGAGGCAGGGCTCTGCTGGTGCTGCCCAGTCCCAGCCCTGGGGACTGTCAGAGCCTGCCATGGGGGGCTGAGGGTGCCCCAGGGCTCGCCCAGGCTCCCCCCAGTCCTCGGTCACTGCCGGGAGGGTGCCGAGCGCCATGGTGAGCTCAGGAGCGGGGACCGAATCCTCACGCCCGCAAGCAGCAGGTTTTCAGTCTGACGCTCTCTGTGTGATTTCCATGAGAGGTCTTCACGCAGGGCGCTGGTGTGCGCTGAGGGACTGGTTGTGTTAACCCATGTTCTTGTACCACTCAGTAATCCACACATAAACATGTACTTCTGCTACTGTCTCGATGGACTATGCATTTTGTCTCTTTGCACTGAAGGTGCGGCGTTTCCCTACCCTCTACAGGGCACACCCAAAACTTGTGCCCAAAAGCCCCGGCAGGACCAAAGGCCTCTGAGAGCTTCTGCTGCAACAGATGTAGTGGTTTCTCAGGAAACTGAAAAGGGAATAAAAATATCACCCCAAGAGGTTGGTCCAGAGGAAACTCCCCAGCATGGGCACCCCCAGCCTGGATGCTGCCTCGGGCTTCGGTGGGCAAAGTTGGCTCACGCTCCAGTAGCCACGGTGCCTGCAGGGGCAGGGGCTGAGCAAGAGCTGGCCCTGCTCCCCCCCAGCCATGCCATCGCACTCACAGGGTTTGGGCCCAGGGACAGGTTATGCTCTGAGCTAAAACGTGTTTGCCTCTGGAGCTCTGGGTGGGAAAACATTTGCAGCTAGGAGGTGTTCCTTCACGTTCCCCCAGTCCAAAAGACTGTCAAGGGGGCCTCATGCTCACCCCAGCCTCTTGGCAAGGATGGGTGGCCCCTGTGCTGAGCTCGCTGTCAGGCACAGCATGGACCCCAAAAAGCCCAGCATCTCCCCTGCCAAGATGAGGTGCTTAGGGACATGGTTTGGTGGTGGGATGGCAGGGTTAGGTTAATGGTTGGTCTTGATGATCTTAAAGGTCTTTTCCAACCTAGATGATTCTATGATTCTATGATATAATGGCTGTTTCACCTTTCCATAATTCAAAACATTTGTAAAATGTCTTTTTAGAGTAACCTTGGCCAATGACTTACCTCTCCACACATTTTTCTTTGGTTCACACAATGGCATTTTAGAAGGGACTAATGCAAACATTTTTATTTATAATGTATTCACCATTATTTAAATATTAACACAGTTTTTGCAATAGTTATCAAGAGTTCCCAGTACCAGGGGAAAATAAAACATAGCCACATGCTTGGCTACGTTCAGAGTTTTAGCAAGCCTCTCCATCTCTTAGCTGAACATGCAGGGATGGTATGTGTCAGTACAATCTAATAAATACAAAATAAAGCAAATGTTAAAAGAGATGTTTCTCTGTGGGCCTGGATGTGCCTGCTGGAGAACCACAGCCTCCTCCTGCCATGTCAAAACCCTGGTGTGAGAACTGTTGTCTGGACTGGGATGCAGAGCGAGGACCACATGGTTGTCAGAGCCGCAATATCCAACTACGGAGAGCCCAAGGGTTGGGGAAGAGCATCACTGCCAGCCACTGGACTGCTCAGAGCAGGCGGTTCCAGCTGCTGGCTGGCGATACCCAGTGCTGCAGCCCGAGACAGCAAGCCCTGCATCCATTCCTTGTGCCTCCAACCGCAGGTCAGCGTCAGTCCCAGACCCCCAGTGAAGACCGTGTCTAACTGCGGTGATTTCGAAGTAAGCTGCTTTCTGGCAAAGCCCAGGAGCAGTAACAAGACTGACACATTCCTCTTACCATCTTCAGAAAAAAAGTGAGTCCTGCTACTACTGAATTACAAACTCACATAAATAACATTAAAAAAAAAAAAAGAGATTTTCAAGTACTCCCAGGCAGGATCTTTCCTCCCCAGCTGTTGTGGTGGTGGTCCTATTCCATCGCAAACTGCTCCATACAAAGCAGAGCAGGCAAACCTGCACTGAGATGGCACTCCCAGAGTCAGTAATACACACCGGCCCGTCTGGGAGAGAAGGAACAGGTTTCCGTTCTGCTCAGCTACGGCATTTAACCTGGGAGCATGAAGGAAACAATTAGTAATGTATGAAATAAGTAACCTCCCTCAAAATAATAGCTCTGTACAGCCTTAGGAAAGATCCTTGGCCAGCATAAACTAGATGCTACAGAGGGAGAACCGGCCAGAGGGGAGAGCTTCCCTGCGACTGTGGCTGTGGCGATCGAGGGAGGCTGTTTGTGGGGAAAGTTTTGGTCTCCCTTCAGGAAAGAGTAGAAGCTCTTCCTCTGTCTGATTACTGCAATGCAGCACTGCCCAAGTTCTGAGCAGATACTACTGAAAGCCTAGACATCTGGGAGCTATGATGTGAACTGCTAAGGACAAGAGCGAGCCCTTTTCATCTAAGCTTTTGCTGATTAGAAAGGGGCGATCACAGCCCCCAGCGCTTCCCTTGGCTTCCTCTTTCCCCTGCTAGGTGTCAGACTGCAACACTGCAAGTCTGGTCCCTTGGTGGGTGGGTAGTGCTGGGTCTGAGCACGTGCTCCCCCACCACCCTCTGCGCTTGCCGGGCTCGCCAGAAACACAGCGGGCACGCAATGACTGTGCCCAGCTTTCATGTCAGACACGGACTCCAGGGCTCCTACACTGATGGAGTCAGAGGAGGGTTTGCTACACAAACTGAGCCTGGCTTGGGTTACAAATGCTGGCTGTTGCATGACATGGGATACAACTGGGACATTAGACACCTATTGGAGACAGCTCTGTTGCTTCATGCCAATGAATGCTTTTGCTGCCGTATATTCTTGCGAGAGCCCGGCCTCGCCCCTGCCTCGCTGCAGGTTCAGGCACATTGAGAGATGATATTAGAGTTGCAGTCTAAGGTGTGAGTGTGGCTGCTTTTGCAGTTTTCAGGCCTGCAGCCGGCACCAGGAGGGCTGACCAAGTCCAGGTAGTAGGGGGACTTGAGGAAACGGCGGTAAGAATCCTTTTCCATGAGGGTAAATATTTTTCTCTGAGCCTCATCAAAGCAGGACAGTGTAGGCTCCAGCATATTGTGGCTCGTCTTCTCCCGTGTGCATGAATCCAGGTTCACCTGCGGGCCAAAGGGATAGCGTAAGTCGAATCTGTCCCAGAAGCAGCTAGCATAGGTGAAGGAAAATCTCAGAGTCTCTTCACCAAGCGTGTTTAAGCTGTCCTCGACGGGCTGTGGTCTGAAATGGCCACTGGACTCCTTGTAGCCTTGGCAGAATCTGTGCAGCTGGATACCAATGCATCTCTGCTGCCAGACAAACCGTCAGGGGTGACCGACACATATCCCTATGGGGTGCAGCTAACCAGGAAACTCAAACCACTGCATGGGACCAGCTGGAACACTGGGAATCATAGTCCTCTCAGGCTTCTCCCATTTGAGTGTGCACAAGGGATGGCGTGTGGTTGTAACTAAACCCCACTTTCTCTCTATCCTAGTTTAATATAAAAGCAATAAAAATGACACCATTGGCTTGCTAACTGACAGAGAAGCGTCATCCTTCAACTCTTGTGAAACTACCAGGTCTCCATTTCCCTGTGCTGCTGGCCCGGTTCGGGATTTAGGGTGACACCTTTGCTCAAGAAGTGTTCTGTGCACATACCTCTTTTGTTGCCTGCACTGAGATGAACTCATCATAGATCTTTCTGGCCTTGGGGCTGAGCTTGGCTGGTGACTTGGTTTTCTTGTAGTCCTCACAACTGACCCAGAACTCGATGTTTTCCTCACTATACTCAGATTTGAGAAAAGCACGGAAAGCAGCCAGTCCTCCTACAGATTGTTTAGAGGAAAACAAGATCAGGTAAGAGTGTTGGTTCCTGGATAGTCATACCCATGAACCCCAGCAAACAGCAATTCTGCGATCTCCTTCCCAGAGCTGAATGAGCAGCTCCCCTGGGGATGGCTGCTGCCTCCACGGCAGTCGCTCGTGCATGCCGAGGGAGGCTGGAATTTGGACAGGCCCCATGGGGATGTCACATGTGGGTCCTCAGCTGCCTGCTCCTGGTCACTGTGACCTTCAGTGGCTCAGCCAGGAGGACACAAGTGACTCGCTTGTTCCCAGGGGGCCCTGAGGAGACAGCCAACACACGCCGCAGAGTCTCAGGCCATGGGAATGACACGAAGGAAACATCAGGGACATCAGTGTAGCCTAGAACTGAAGGGAAGAAAAAATCTCCCATGGGCCCAGCTACAAACAGTTTCTCCACTTTTTGGTTCTTGCTTAACCCACTATTAACTGCATGCTGCAGTCTTGCCCTCTCCTTGCACAGGGCTAAACCAGTTGCCTTAACAAAAGGGACAGCTCAGCAGTAGCTGATACATGGTACTCATGATTGTCCCTTGGATCTGACCAAGAGCACCCTTCACCACCCCTCCCAAAGGCCTGTGTGGCCAAAGAAGCTACTGCATGCTGCTAAGAGACATAAGATAAAGTCCCATGCCCTCTCCAGGGACTGCTCAGCGCACACACTTTGCAGGCAGCACCCTCAACATCTCCAGCAGAAAGGCCCTCTTTACTTACTGTCATGGTGGATCAAGTTTTCCAAAGACTCTGCCCACTTTCTGACTTCCTCTTGGCTAACCCTAAAAGGAGACAAAGAGAGAAATGTAGGGAAGATTTAAGGGGAGTACAGAAAGGACAAATTTGGTTTTTTGCTCAGCACTGCTAGAAAAATCTTTCCCTGGTTGTTGTAAGAGCATACACGAGACCAAGAAGGAAATGTCTGCTTGCTTTACAGAGACCCCCTGGCAGTCCCAAATCTAAGCTACAGAAATTCTGGTTTGCAATCCCCACCACCAGCCATAGGCTGGAAAGGAATTTTCCTGGAAAAATTGTTGGGTACTTTGTGTTTGTGTTGTGACCAGCTGCATCTCTTGATGGTGCACAGACCTGGGATCACTCTTACAGGCCAACTTCAAAGGGCTGATTTCTTTAACCTGTCAGGGGAACAGTAGCTATACGGAAGAAAGAGGAATGTGGGAAGTAGAAACACATGGGGAACGTAGGAACACATCCTGCATTCATTCCCCCTACCACAGCAGAACATCCTAGGGCTCATCTATTCCAGGAGCATACCCTGGCCTTTGGAGTCCTCCTTGGAAAGGACACCACCTACTTGCACCTCAGTGAGAGCAGTGATACCCTGATGGGCTGCTCTCTGTTTTCTGTGCCAACACCTCTGCGCAGCTGTGTGGACCATTGCACAAACCCAACTCAAAGAGACAGTGATGCTGATTCTGCAATGTGTCACGTCGCGCTGGGTCTTGTGATGGCATTATTCTCCTGTGCTGGAGACTGCACAAGTCTTTCCATGTGCAGATGCATATTGAATCACAGAAGCGTTGGCAGAAAGGGACCTCTAGTTCAACCTTCTTCATGGAAAGGGACTATCAATACCTGTGGACTATTGCCATATGAGATTCACACACACACAGGTGTTCAGGAAGTACTGGGAAGCAGTGGCAGAAATGCTTAATGAAGTTCAGCTCAGTAAAGGAGTAAACACCATAGTGCAGCCAGCCTGGGCTTAAAACTACATGGCAGCATTTGCTCTTACCTCTGGCTCGAGGATATTTTCTCCTTCTTGCCCTGGGAAGAGCTGTAGTCGCAGGAGTCTGACTTCTGCAGCAAGAAGCCCAGACGATGCTTCATGTCTTTGGCACTGAAAGAAACAATTCAAGAACGAGATGAAGATAACTCCTTGCAACCCCCTCTGCAGCCTCCTCACCCGCAATAAGCTCCTTTAGCATCACTTGGTGTCACAAATACAGGTCACTGCTGGTGACTCCAGTGCTGACTTTCCACTCCTCACATAATGCACATTTCTGTTGCTAGACAAATACAGCAAGGTCAAAGAAGCCATTTTTTTCACATTCAACAGCACCATTTTCTTGCCGAGAAGGGCATCGGCCTGGAGGCAGGGCTGGCAAAGGGGGAGAAGCCGCTGTTTTCCTACTGTTTGTTTACAGTTAAAATATTGTGATAGAAAGGCATCACTATGCTGTAAATGTGTTGCTTCTCCCTAAACTGATTTGCCCAGCTACCGGCGTCCAGGTCTTAGGCACTTACTGACCCTTTCCCGCAGCCTTTGCCATCTCCCCACCTCCCCACCCAGCCACAGGAACCAGGCCAACCCACCAAAGAGCTGCCCATGACACAGAGGGGCTGGGGGAGGTGAAGGGCTCGAGCAGGACGTGGGGTGAGATCAGGGAATGAGCCAGGAGCTTCACCACAACCAGCCCACGCTGACTGCAAGCTACTCCGGTGCTCCATGGCGAGGCTCCTACGAGGGGGTGTGCTTAATTTTTTTCTGCTTTCCAGCGTGCTCAGGACAACCAGTGCCTGACAGCAGCATCTAGATATGCCACTGGCATTGGCCTCCAGCATCTCTCCGGATTTCCTTCCAGTTTAAGAACAAGGGGGTGGGGGTAAATCAGTCCTGCTTGCTCAGGGGTGCAAGCCCTGGCCTGCTGCAGGGTGCAACGACAGCGTAAGCAGGAAATTCGTCTCCTGCTCCTCAGATCAGAGCCTGGAAAAGAGCAAGAGGTTGTGTTGCAGGGCTGAGCTCTGGTAGCTGCTCAGCCTCCCAGCACTGCTCTTTGCTCCAGCCATAGCACCCTGTCAGCGGTCCTGGCTGTATCTTATCTCGCTTGCTTGTGCTCATCAATGTTTTCTTAACCAACTCCAGCACTAGGGTGAGAGCGAAGGAAGCTCACAGCTTCTTTGGAGCAGGGTGTGTGTGACGAGGGCCAACACCCCGGCCCTGCCCGGGCTGCCTGGCGCTGCCGTGCCCGCAGAAGGAGACTGCTCCGCTCTGCAGGAAGGCGGCAGCAGGAGGAAACAAGATGCTGCTGCTTGCAGTGAGTCCTGCAGCTTTCTGGGAAAGAGATATTTTCTTGGGAATCCTGGACAGAGGTTGTTGAAAGATGTGAACCTTTTTATTATTTGCATTTTTTTCAATATTCTCCCCCCCTCCCCCCCCCCCAACCACTTGCTTTCAAATCTACCATGAGCAGGGAGCTTTTTCTCCCAGATGGGAGCAAGCTGAGCCTCAGTTTGTACTTTCCCAACCCTCTCCCATTGCACAGCCACTGTGAAGCAGCCTCAGGAGCACTCCCGGGGGCATGAGCAGCCAGAAAGGCAGCGCTGCACCATCAGAGACCCATACAAGTTTGCATGGGCTGGATGAGCTGGGAGTTTTGTGGGGCCAGTGCCATTCTGGGGACCTGGGCCACCCTGCTGGGGGTTTCCAGGCCCCATAGCACCTGAGAGGGAGTAACACCCCTCCAGGAGGGCTCATGGCCACCCCGCAGGCATAGAGAGCCCCTCATGCTGGGCTGTGGGGCAGGCCGTGCCACCAAGGGCATGCTTGGGGGTGCACAGGCTCCACTCTGCCAGGGCTGGGATGCCTGGCTGGTACCACACACTGGGATGCAGCCAGATCCTGCACCCACGGCTGGGGTACTGCTCAGCCCCCTCTGATCAGCCCTGCACAACAGGGGTATGGCCAGCCCCACACCAGCGCCACAGTGCTGTGCATAGGGGGTACAGCCTGACCCAGTCCCTCACCATCAGCACACACCGGGGGATACAGGCAGACCCCACACTGGCTGATGCCGCATCCAGATCGCAGTGCCCTGGGCTGGCCCGCATCCCCGCCCTGCCCGCTGGCGGCTGGGTCTTTGGTCCTGCCAGCCTGGGTTTCTGCATTTGGGGAATGACCCTCTTTTTTTTTTTTTTTAATGTCCCATCTGCCTTGCTTCCCCATCAAAAAAAGTCAAGAACAGAAAATTCAGTAGGGAAGGAGGGTTCAAAGGAGAAAAGGGGTGCAAAGCTTGCAGCAGAAGCAGATGACAGGAATATCAAAATATAGCAATACTAAAAGCTGCTTGTTTTGCTGATGGGAAGGATGCGTTTAGAGTTCCCACAGCTCTATACAAAACCTTTACGCAATTCTGCTTTTGACTAACAGAAGAAAAAAAAAAAGCCTGTAAGCAATCACTTGTGTCTAATCCTACAAAAGAATTGGAGCCGAATCTGCCACTTCTGCTTCAGACGCTAAGTGCCATACATTGGCGTATCCCCAGACTAGCGAGACCGCTATCAGATGCTCAGAAATAAGCAGTACCTTTTTAAGCAAGTGGCTGGCAGTGCGGCGAGTCCCTTGCACATCTTGCTCCGGAGGGCGGTTCTGTATTCCAGGGAAAAAACAACAACAACGGGAGGCGGTGGTGGAGGCTGCGTGCGGGTCCTCTGCTCTCTGCAGAATTCAGCTTTGTCTCTGAGCTCAGCTGCACTGCCCGGGCTCAGCTTTATGGCTCTGCTTTATAGCCCAGCCCAGCCCAGCCCAGTGAGGAGTCAGCACAGCAGCAGCACCCGGCCCCTTTTCGCCCACCCGGGGAGGAAGAGGGTGCGGGATAAAGCAGCACAAAGGAGCGAGTGGGATGGGCAGCCTTACCAGAAATGAAGCTTGATGTCTGGCTGCAGAGGTGGATTCTTTTTAAAAGGGTGGAAAAAGCTTCAGGGGTTTTGCTCTATTGCAAAAGGTGGAATGGTGCAGATAAAAGCTGGAGGAGATTTTCAGGGGGGCACAGACGGTAAAAAGGGTCAGAGCATCAGTTCTGAGAAGTGAGATGAGCTTTGCTGGTTCCTCTCTTCATTTTCCCCCTTCTATTCAAAGCAACCTAGGGACAACAAGGGACAAGAATTTTAAACACAAAAGGTTCCCATAATCCCAACAAATGCAGAAACCAGAGCTGTAAGGAAAGAAGAATGTAAATGCACCAGGGAACTACCCAGGCAGATAAGGCTGTTCTGTGTTATTCTGGAGGTGTGTGGATATATGCCCTTGGTGAGGCTGAAAAAAAAAAGCTCCAAGGGGCATATGACTATTGGAATATAAAATGTGTGTATCCTGGCACACACATATTTGGGGACAGCTCATGTACAAGTGTAGGAAAAAGACGGGAGGTTGACAACCTGGCTGCCTTAGATATATGGTTATCACTGCAATACCTTACTTCTCCATTTGCATTTGACCCTAATCAAAAGCCAGACGTTGGGACTCGGAAGTCCCCGAGTCCCCAGGGGAAGATGATTAATTAAAACAATATGCATAACTGTCCAGAGAGAACTCTGTGGCAGCGCTGAAGCTACTCTGTGCTAAAGGATGAACCCACAAAGCACCTGGCTCTAAGAGATGCTTGGTGGCGACCGCACCGCCTGGCTCCCCAAGGGAGAGCAGAGTGACTCCAGCTACACCACTTGTCCGCAGCCCTTGGAGGGTGCAGAAGGCATTTGCAGCTCTGGAGAGAAAGAATTGGCTGATATTTATCAAGTCGTGGCTCAGCACAGCCTGTACCATCATTACAAAAGAGGGGAAAGCTTTGGGCAGGCAGACGTGCATATGGTCTGCTGCACTTCAATTCTTGCTCCCACTGTGAAATAAAGAAGCTTCAGTCCGGCAGCAGGCTGTCTGCCCACGCTACCCACTGCTGTGCTCCCCCTCCCCAGAAATCTTTAAATACTTTGCCCACGACCTGCAGAAGTTGTAGGGTGAGCTTTTCCTTCCTGTGTCTCTAGAGCCTACAGCCAGCAGCACAGACACCCCACATCCCAGACTAGTTTACCTGCCTTGGCACACTGCATCCTCTCAGATCATTAACTGTGCTGAAAGGCAATGCTCTAATCAACTTTAAAATGCTTTTGTATGCATGTGACTATCCTGTTGCCAAACGTGAGGCAACATGCCTGCAAGTCCTGCACTGTTTCGACTAAAAATCAACTCCAGCACAGGGCAGTGTAAAACTTAACTGAGTGAATCCCCTTGTGTTTTTAGTGTTGGCGAGTTGACAGCACTTGGGTGGATTTGTAGGAAGCGACTGAGCACTGGCAGAGTTGGCACCAAAGCTCTCTGATGTCTTCTGTTTGGGAAGCAGAGAAGCCAAAGGGCAGAATACGGCCAATGGGAAAAAAACCCTAACTAATTAATTGCTAAATATTTAATGTAATTAATTTAATTTTAATCTCAAAGTTGTGCAATGCTACAGCTGTTTGTATGCAACTGCAGCACATTCATTCAAGCAATTCAAGAGCTCAGCTGGCCGACATGGCCAAGGTGTCTGCAAGCTCTAACCCTGACCCCAACCCTGGCAGCCAGAGCCTGACCTCCTGACTGAGGAAGCTCCAAAAGGTTGCTTGCTAGGGCAGGGAATCTCTGTGTGGAACACAGAAATTCCACAGTTTCTCTGCAAATTGGCACGTAACCAGATTTAGGAATGTCACACTTCTCTGTGGATTGTAAGTGTGTTCACTGTGTGGCTCTAATGACGCTTGAATGCTGGTGGTGTCAACATCAAGTCACCTTCTGCATTCCCCGACTTCTATATGAACAGGCAGTAATAAGAAATTTCTGACACTGCCATCGCAACAGCCAGCCCAAAGGGCTTTGCGAATAAGACCATCCTCCCTGGACTGGGTATGCAGACTCCTAGAACTGCCACGGTTGAAATTTCCCTTTTCCAGTTTGTTCATTGAGACGGACTGGTTCAGTCTGGCCCCCATGCGAGGAGTTTGGGTTTGCGTACTTTTTCTCCGCTAAGCTGTGTTTCCCAGCTGTTGAAGCTTAATATCCTCTTAGCTGCTCCAGCTGGTCCCCAATCAGAAGTACCCCCTTCTATCTCTTACCCTTCATAATCAGGCCTCTTCTCCCAGGGCACAGACTGTGCTGTGCTCAACACCGAAATCTCCTCCTCCCCACCAGGCAGAGAAGCGGCAGCTCATGCCACTTTTCACGCTTGTCACGTCGCCTCTGGCTCGCTTCACCTGCGGCATGGAGAAATCAGCAGCGAGAGTGGGATGGGAGGTACAAGGTGGGGGGGTGTGAGCTCCCCGGCCAATATATCTCTTGGCTGTGCAGTGCTTTGGAGGCACCCAGGGGCTCACAGAAGACAGCACGATAGTAAACGTCTGTGGTTCCCACTGTGGCATCCCTCATCCCCCACCCAATCCTCCCTGCTGCATCCCCCGCTCTGCCTCCCCAAGCAGCCAGAGGCAAGGCTATGAAACGGAGCTTTCCCTCCTACCATCACTGCTAGGGAAAAACGTCACACACGTGGGTGCACTCCCCCGTACACAAATGCGTGTGGGATGTGTCCCTGGGCTCAGCTGCAGCCAAGTGGCAGGCCGTGGGAGGAGGCAGGGAGCACAGGGAAGGCTGCTTTGGTGGTCATTGCCCAGAGCTGATCCACTACAGGCTGTTGCCCTCCTAACAGTGCGGGGCTCTCCTGTCTCAGTCCTTTCCCATCTCAGAGCAGCGTGCTGTGGGATGCACGAGCGCCCAAGGAAGGCAGCTGCTTTGTGTCACTGGAAATGGAGAAGGACATGACATGGGAACTGTGAGGACGTGCTGCTGGGCCAGAGCTTCTCCTTTCCTCCTGCCTTCCCCGGTCCCCCTTGCAGAGGCTAACAGTGGCCCACTCTTCCTCCTTCTCCATGTCTCACAAAGCCAGCCAGGCACCTTGGAATCAGGCTAGCAAATCTCCTGGGTGCACAGGGCGACACAGGGCAGAGCACTACCCATTGATCTCAGGGGCATCCCCATCCCAATACATGCCTGGCTGCCGATTGGCTCTGCAGATGGCATTGGTGAGGAACCAGAGCAGCTCCCACACCCCTGAGAAGCACTGACCAGGGTGGCACTGGTCCCCAAGGCCCCCGGCTGCAGAAGCCCCGCGCGAGCAGCTGCCCTGGTGACACTTCTGCCCAGGGGAGTGGCCCTGGCATGAGCCCTGTTGCAGGGAGGGGACCTGGAGCTGTCTGAACTCCCTGATTTGCTTCTTCCATACCCCAGTCCCTTCCAGTGCAACCCTCCACCATTGACTTTGACTTCTCCAGTACGCCTATTAGCAGGTAAGATTTCCTTCCAGTAACGAGGGCTGCATCTTCTCCACATACGCGTGTGCTTTGATTGGATTACAGCTAATGAGCTGGGAGCTGGAAGGACCATTTGGGTCTGAGTTTGGATGAACCAGCTCAGGACATGCCTGTGTCTGACACTGCACACAGCCACGTTTCTTGTCCCAGGGCATTGACTATAGCCTGATATCTCCAAAAGACACATGGAGACACCACACTTGTCCCCATAGGGTCCCCCAGCCAGCACTGGGATTCCCAGAAATGCTGTCCCACAGCATAGTCTGAGGAAAGCATTCTTTACCATGTCTCTGCAATGCGCCGCAATGCAACGCAATGCACTGACTTCACGTGTGACCACAGCCATGGCCCTCGCAAGCAGCCCCCAGAGGCAGCCTTTGAAGAGAGAGCATCTCTTCCCAAATTAGCCCTCACGAGAGGCATGACTCACCATTCTGCCACACGGTTAATGCGCTGCTCACACGGAAACCTTCTCAAGTGGATGCACCTCCAAGCTGAACCAGTCACCTTTCTGCTTCTCTTGGACAAGGCAAAGGTAAACTTTGAAAGGCAAAGCAGCTTTGGTTTGGTGTCATTTCTCGCTGAACCTGTTCTTCTCTCAAGTTGTGATGCTCTGTAAACGTTAGCACATTCATTCAGCACGCTCATTAGCACCAGCCTCATGCAATTCATACAACCAAATGCACAACTCGTACAATTTTCCCATGCTCTCAGGTGTTTTCTGCTTATACATGTGCCTACATCATCAGTGGATTTTTGTCATTTCTAAGTTCTTGGAAGTTCCTCGTAATTTTGGGGGGTTTGGTTTTTCTTTACTTCAACCCTCAGGTTTTGGGCTACCTACTTCTCCTGTTACTACCCAGAAGAAAATATTTCATCTTGTATCAAAGGAAGAATTTTGTTCACCCCAAATGTACTTTTGTTTTCTCCTGGTTTGGGTTTGCTAATGAAATAAGTGGGGTGTTTTTTTTTGTCTGGCTATTCTTGTTTCTGGGAATCAGACAACAGAAAAAGCTATAAGGTCAGTACTTTGCCTTCCAGTTTCCCAAATCTCTGTCTCATCATCCGTCTTGATCAACAGCCCCTTAAACATTTCCTCTTAATCACTAAGAAAGTTTTGAATAACACTGGACCACAAACCAAGACAACATATGCCTGTTCACTGATGCTTTCCCAACACGAGAGCCACTTTGAAATGTCTCATTTAGCTACTTTTAGTCCATTTCATATGGATTTTA